TCTTGGGTTCGAGTGGTGAGGGAGGCGAAAGAAATACCTTAAGGGGCGGGACAGTACCTAGTGAGTCATGCTGGGGCAAGCCCAGAGTGGGCCTGGGGCGAGCCCAGGTGTACCAGCCCAGCCCACGGGTGAGATCTAGGTCGTGACAATGCAAGAGTCAGATCATGGGTACACCCGCAGCCTGCTTCTGTTAGAATAATGGGTGCACACCGAGCCAGCCAGAAGCTGTGATGATCCCACGTGTCCAATACCTACTCTAAATCGCGCAAATCACTCTGGAAGATGGGCAATGTGACATAAAGAAGGATTTGCACGGATAAACCCACCAACTTACAGAGTCAGTTATCATTACCTCAATGCATCCCACTATAAATTGAGAGCTTCTCTGTCATTAAAAGGATTCGCTCATTTTTACTCTTGATTAGCTATTCTCTCAAGAATATATATCATTCTCTCTCTTGTACTATCATTTTGTGAGTCATTTGTAAATCATTTGTAAGTTAGTCCGCTAACGCGACCTGACCCCTATCATTAATACAAACATCAGTGGACATAGGACTTGCTACCTTAGCATCAGAACCACTTTAAAAACTGTCCCTTTTGCATTTACTACCCTTTTCCTTTATATTTACGTGTGTCTTCTAGGTCAGTTCAGCATTTCACATGTGCGTTTCGTTGGTGTCAAAATCATGCATCAACACAGTTGATTAAATAAAGGTAACTCTGGCATTATCTTTGAAGTTAATTAGATTAATTAAACATCAAACAGAACAAATACAGAGCAGCAGATTACTCGTTACTTCAACAGTACAGTCTTTAACTTTGCTTAAAACATTCTTGTGCATGGCCAAATATGAACAAAAACATATAAGGATAATCCTGCACCACATTCTTTTAACTCATCCGAATTTAAATTCTCCCTCACATATGATTCATCAGTACTATTTTTACTTTAACGTAGTATATTTGAATAAGCATAAAAAGATTTAGGGTTGGTGAAGTGAGGTGTAATAAAGAATTGATGCTAAGATATAGGGATAAATATTTACTTAATAAACTTTTAAGGATAATGGTATCAATAAAAATGCACTACAACATTTGTATACAATTTTTTTATATAACTTTGAGATGGCAACTCGAGATTGGCCGGTTTGCATTTGGGCAAATGAGATCCATTGTGAGTTGATTAATCATGCGCTGTCACATCAAGGTTGTATGAAAAAGTTATGAGTGTAGTGCTGCTCTAATGTTATACTTTATAATTTAATTATACAACCAGACAAAATAAATAAATAAATAAATAAGACAGAGTAGTCATTTTATATCAATTTTCTGTAATTTTTATCTGATTGTATGTCTAACAACTTTTTTATATAACCTTGAGATGGCAGCTCGGGATTGATCAGTTTGCATTTGAGTAGATAGAATCTACTGCAAGCTAACCAATCACGAGCTGTCATATTAAAGTTGTAAAATGTAGTGCTATTCTAGTGTTATACTTTACAATTGAGTCATACAACTAGATATATAACCAAAATAATTATTGTATATAAATTTATATAATTTTTATCTAATTATATGACTAAGTTGTAAACATAATATTATTCCACTTTTAATTATCGCATGCGAGCTCTGAACAGTCTTCTAAGAGCATCTCCAAAAGACTCTTTATATGACTAAACTCTTTATTATAAAGATTTTATCTATAAAAACAAGAGTCCAACAAACTCTTTGCCTTTAAAAAATAAATTAGAGAGTGGGTTTGACTCTCCACATTTAGAGAGTCAAATTTCACTCTCTATCCTAATTTTAATTAATAAATTACAAGTTTCTATGTATTTTATTCATTAATTCACTCTCCCATTAAGTCTATTTCTTAAAAATAAAGAGTATCTTCATTAAATTTAAAGAGTCTATTGGATTTGAATAAAAATTATGTTCTTTATATTTTAAAAGTAATGAAGATGCTCTTTATTTATATAAAATATGCTTTTCAAAATAAAAAAACACCATTGGAGATGCTCTTAGAGCATCTTCAAAAGACTCTTTATATGACCCAAACTTTTATTATAAAGAGTTTATCCATAAAAACAAGAGTCCAACAAACACTTTATATTTAAAAAATAAATTAGAGAGTGAGTTTGACTCTCCACATTTAGAGAGTTAAATTTCACTCTCTATCTTAATTTTAATTAATAAACTATAAGTTTCTATGTATTTTATTTATTAATTCTCTCTCCTATTAAGTCTCTTACTTAAAAATAAAGAATATCTTCGTTAAATTTAAAGAATAGATTGATTTGAATAAAAATTATATTCTTTATATTTTAAAATTAATGAAGATGCTCCTTTATATATATGATATATAATTATTATTAATATATAGATATATATATATATGAAAGATATTCTACCAAATAAAAAATACTGTTAAAGATGCTATGAAAGATGCTGATTCAAATAAATAACATAATTAAAGATGCTCTAGACATCTAAACACTAGAGAAGTCGTCTTTCTGGGCAAAAGATTATACTTGTAGTCAAATTTGTAGAGGTTTAGGTTTAGCTTTCCTATGTGAACGTTGGTTGCAGCAAACACAAAGGTAGGTGTGCAATAATTAAAAAAGTGAGGGGTCTTTACGCGGAGCTTTCCAAGACACCTAAAGTCCAAGCACGAGAAAAGTTCTCTTTGTAAAATTATTAAAGTTTTATCAAGTCAAATTATTCCCATGTGAACGCATGTTGCAGCAAACACAAGGCAGGTGAGAGGTCTTTTACACAGCTTTCGAGATATCTAAACACCAGTGACCAATGTTTTAAAAGCCGGGGTGAATCCCGCCAAAGTCTCTAGGTGCCAGGTTGACTAATTTAACCGGTTTCACTGTAATAAAAACTTTTAAAATTAAGTAAATACACTCTTAAAAGCTTTTTAAATTCCTATATGTTTAAACTTTATCACACACACTCTAAATACAAATCAATTAGCGATTGATTGGTGACGGCAACATCCCAGATGTAACCCTAATTATTCATTGAGCTCATTTCTATTAAAATCTATCCAAGAGTTGGCTGAAATAGGTTCGATTTTGACCATATCTCACCGATGTCGGTGTTAGCATTCCAGGCCAGGTCTCATATACGTCGGCGTCGACAACCCTCCTCATCATCTAAGAATTACTCTCCTTTTCCTCTCGATCAAAACCCAACTCACCACATCTCTGTTAGCCTTGTCAATCGCCAGCAAAATCTCATTGTTGCCGCTGCCAGATTTATTCTATTTTTGGTTGATTTACTCACTAGAAATCAATGTCGTCACCACCATTGCATTCATCGACACTTTATCTTCAAAAGCCGCAAGATTTTGGCTGTCAATTATTCGCTAATTATTTTTCTAAATCCTAGGGTTTTGGGTAAATAGGAATACTATAAACCTGACCTGTTGAAATTTTTAGATTTTAGTTAAACCGATTCAATCAATCAGACGGGTTGGGTTTTAAAACATGAGTAATACTAGCCTTACAAAGAGGCATACAAAGAGTCATACAAAGAGTCAAATCTAGCCCTTGAAATTTATGATTGCCTCTTTCTCTCTCTCTTTTTTCCTTCTTTCAAGGGCTAGATTTGATTCTTTGTATGACTCTTTGTATGCCTCTTTGTAAGGCTAGTATTACTCTTAAAACATTGCCAGTTACCAAACAAGTTGTTTTTGTAAATTTATTAAAGTTTAACCAAGTCGAATAAATATAACATCAATCTCTAGGCAAAGATTATACTTTTTTAGAGGGTTAGGTTTTAGCTTTCCAATGTGAAGTGTGAATACATGTTAATGTCAAAGAATATAATAATATCTGTTTATTATATTTCAGGTTTATTGGGTCATTTAAAAGTTTACGAGAATCTCCGATTGTTCTTGTTGTTTTGAAAGAATCTTCTTTAATTTTAAAATATAAAAAATATAATTTTTATTCAAATCTAATAGTTTTTTTAAATTTAATAAAATTATTTTTAATTTTTAAGAAAGAGACTTAATGAGAGAGGATTAATAAATAAAATATATAAAAATTTATAATTTATTAATTAAAATTAGGAGAGAGAGTGAAATTTAACTTTTTAAATGTAAAAAGTAAAACTGACTCTCTAAATTAAAATTAAGATAGAGAGTGAAATTTATATTTTTAGACTTTTACTTTTATGGATAAACTCTTTATAATAAAAAATTTAAGTCATATAAAGAGCCATTTGAAGATCTTCTAATACATTATGCTTTGATTTAATTAATAAGGTTATTCAAAAGACACGTTTTAAGGCAAACTCACCTTTTCGACAAACGAAGTAGTGCAAAAATAATAATGCAAAGGCAAGATATTGGGTCTGCTACAAACAAAATTTAATTTAATTTTTTAAACAAAGAGTTAGTTTACTATTAAGTTTCGTTAGGCTGTTGGTTAGTTTCTAAACCTGGATTAATAAAGAGTTAGTTTACTATTAAGTTTTTCAAAGGATATTTAAGCTGTTAATAACATCATTAACAGAACGATGCGTTTTATCACCTACAGTAAACTCTGTTACTATAACAACTACACTGTGCTCACCCTTTGCTTAATTAAACTTTTCCTTATTCCAAATTGATACTTTAAAAAACGAATCAATTATTATTCTCACAGAGTAATTGTACCACGATAGAATGCTGATGTGTTACATGCACCCAATTATTCAAAGCCACGTGACAGTTTAATTAAAATAAAAAGAAATGGAAAACAAAAATCTAAAATTTTATTTAAAAGATATTTTAAATTACAGGGAATTTTTTTTTTTTCTCGCATGATAACGGTCAGTGCCATAAGACAATTTACTTTACTTTTTTTAGTTTAATATATATAAAGTAAATAATTGCTTTCTCTGTTCCATGCACTCTATATATTGATTGTGCCGTAGCATTGTCTACACAACACAAAATATCAATTTCTCATCTTTCTTCAATTATTTATCATCTTCTCAGTATGGCTGAAGCACTCGTTTCTGTTGTCTTGGAGCAGTTGGCTTCAATAGCTCGTCAACTAGTTGAAGAACGGTTGAGGCTAGTGGTGGGTGTTGATGATGATGTCCAAAATCTCACCCGCAATTTTCGGTCCATTCAAGCTGTCCTTGAAGATGCAGAGAACAGACAATTCAAGGAGAGTGCTGTGAGGGTTTGGTTGGATAAGCTTAAAGAGGCATCCTATGACATCGATGATGTGTTGGATGAGTGGAACACTTCTATTGGGAAATTACAAGTCAAGGAAGTTGAAAATGCTTCCAAGCCTATGATCAAAAAGGTATGTTCACTCATCCCTTGTTATACATTTTGTTTTAGAAAAGTTATCCTGCCTTGTGCCATTGCTCGCAAGATAAAAAGTTTAAGTAAAACAATAGATGATATTGCTACGGAAAAAGATAGGTTTCGTTTCAGTTCGGAAGCGCGCACTATAGATATAAAACCACCAATGACTGCATCTTTTGGTGATATATCAATGGTTCATGGAAGAGAAGCTGATAAGGAGGAGTTATTAAACAAGTTATTGAATGAGAGTAGTCAAGAGCCAGCCATCTCTATTGTTTCTATTGTAGGGATGGGTGGCATCGGTAAAACTACTCTTGCTCGATTAGTTTTTGATAGTGATAAGGTGAAAACCCATTTTGACAAAAAAATATGGGTCTGTGTCTCGAAACCTTTTGATGAGATTAGGATTGCAAAAGCAATCCTTGAATCTCTTGGAGGTGATCCATCAAAACTAGGTGAACTAGAAACTATATTGCAACATCTAAGTCAAGATCTTGATAAGAATAAGTTTTTTCTTGTCCTAGATGATGTATGGACTGAAGATTTCAAAAATTGGGAACAATTAAAAGATTGTTTAAAGTGTGGTTCTCAAGGAAGTAGAATTCTAGTTACCACACGTAAGCAAAATGTTGCCAAAACTATAGGAGCCACCAACATGATCTTGTTAGGGACATTATCAGAAAATGAGTCTTGGTTGTTATTTAGTCAAATGGCATTTTCCCGTGAAGCCAGTGAAAACTTAGTAGATATTGGTAGAAAAATTGTAGCCAAATGCAAGGGCTTACCTCTTGCTATAAAAACCTTAGGAAGCCTCTTGAGTTTCAAAACAAATACTAGAGAATGGCAAAATGTTCTAGATAGTGAAATGTGGGAAATAGAAGAGGTAGAACAAGGGATATTTCCACCTTTACTATTGAGCTATTATGATTTGCCTTTTCCATTAAAAAAATGCTTCTCATATTGTGCTATTTTCCCGCAAGATCATGAGATAAAGAAAGATGAATTAATTAAGTTATGGATGGCGCAAAGTTATCTTAAGGAAAAGCGAAACAAAGATATGGAGTTAATTGGGGAAGAGTATTTTGAAAATTTAGCAATGCGCTCTTTTTTTCAAGACTTTAAGAAAAATATATATGACGGTAGAATAGAAAGCTGTAAGATGCATGATATAGTGCATGATTTTGCTCAATTTCTTACCAAAAATGAATGTTTAAGTATAGAGACTGATAATTATGTTGAGTCTCAATTAAAGTCTTCTTTAAAAAATGCTCGACACTCAATGCTAATACTTGGAAAACCAGACTTATTTCCTGTAGGCGTTGATAATAATAAAAAATTGCATAGTCTTTTGGTTAAGAGTCAAGATTCAAGAAGCCGACAGACTCTGTCCAAATTATTTGATAACTTAAGTCTACGAGCATTACAATTTAGTCGAAATGAGCATGTATACATTGAGGATACTCAAGAAATCTCCAAAGAAATAAAAAAGATGATACATTTGAGGTATCTTGATTTATCTTATAATAGTGATTTAAGAGAATTGCCTAAGGAATTGTGTGATTTATATAATCTACAAATGTTAAACATGGCCTGGTGTGTTAATCTAACAAAATTACCTCAAGAGATGGGAAAGTTAATCAACTTGAGGCATTTAATAGTTGATGGTCATATATTAAAATACATGCCAAAAGGAATCGAAGGATTAACTTGTCTTCGAACTTTGGAATATTTTGCATGGAGTAGTAGTAGCCATGGTGGTAAAGCATTTACTATTGAAAGTTTGAAAAACTTGACAAATCTTCAGCATCTTGGTATTTCGAGGTTAGAAAATGTGGGAGATGTGGGTGAAGTTAAGCGAGCAAACCTTAGGAATAACACAAACCTCCTCTCTTTAGTTTTAGATTTTGGAATTGAATCTACATTAATGCAAAGGGTTGAGCGTGAGAGAGATGAAATGGTTGTTGAGGCCTTTGAACCACCTCCAAATTTAGTGAAATTATGTATAAAGGATTGTGGAGGTAAAACTATAAGGCTAAATTGGATAGCATCATTAACTCAGTTGAGGGAGTTAACACTTATTCATTGCTACAACTGTGAGTATTTGCCTCCTTTCGGAAAGTTATCATCTCTTGAATCACTCTTTATAGATTGGCCTTTGAGTGTAAAAAAGGTGGGTAATGAATTTTTGGGAATAGAAAGTGATGGCAATGCCAGATCTTGTATTGTCTTTCCCAAATTAAAAAGGCTTGTGTTTGATCGAATGAATGGATGGGAAGAATGGGATGATATTACTTTTAAAGGAGATGAATTAGCTATATCACTACAGTGAACTCTTACTGTAGCAACTGCCTGTGCTCCCTCTTTGCTTAATTAAACTTTTCCTTAGTCCAAATTGATACTTTAAAAAACGAATCAATTATTATTCTCAGGAGTAATTGTACCACGATAGAATGCTGATGTGTTACATGCACCCAATTATTCAAAGCCAGTGACAGTTTAATTAAAATAAAAGAAATGGAAAACAAAAATCTAAAATTTTATTTAAAAGATATTTTAAATTACAGGAATTTTTTTTTTTCTCGCATGATAACGTGAGTGCCATAGACAATTTACTTTACTTTTTTAGTTTAATATATATAAAGTAAATAATTGCTTTCTCTGTTCCATGCACTCTATATATTGATTGTGCCGTAGCATTGTCTACACCAACACAAAATATCAATTTCTCATCTTTCTTCAATTATTTATCATCTTTCAGTATGGCGAAGCACTCGTTTCTGTTGTCTTGGAGCAGTTGGCTTCAATAGCTCGTCAACTAGTTGAAGAACGGTTGAGGCTAGTGGTGGGTGTTGATGATGATGTCCAAAATCTCACCCGCAATTTTCGGTCCATTCAAGCTGTCCTGATTAGAGAGTGTTTGATTCTCCACATTTAGAGAGTCAAATTTCACTCTCTATCCTAATTTTAATTAATAAATTACAAGTTTCTATGTATTTTATTTATTAATTCTCCCTCTTAAAAATAAAGAACATTTTCATTAAATTTAAAGAGTCTATTGGATTTGAATAAAAATTATGTTCTTTATATTTTAAAAGTAATGAAGATGCTCTTTATTTATATAAAATATGCTCTTAAAAGAAAAGAGCACAATTGGAGATGCTCTTAGAGCATCTTCAAGAGACTCTTTATATGACCCAAACTTTTATTTTAAAGAGTCTATTCATAAAAATAAGAGTCCAACAAACACTTTATCTTTAAAAAATAAATTAGAGAGTGAGTTTGACTCTCCACATTTAGAGAGTTAAATTTCACTCTCTATCCTAATTTTAATTAATAAACTATAAGTTTCTATGTATTTTATTTATTAATTCTCTCTCTTATTAAGTCTCTTACTCAAAAATAAAGAACATTTTCGTTAAATTTAAAGAATCTATTGATTTGAATAAAAATTATATTTTTTATGTTTTAAAATTAATAAGGATGCTCTTTATATATGAAAGATACTCTTTAAAATAAGAAATACTATTAAAGATGCTATGAAAGATGCTCATTCAAATAAATAACATAATTAAAGATGCTCTAAGACATCTAAACACTCGAGAAGTCGTCTTTCTGGGCAAAAGATTATACTAGTAGTCAAATTTTTAGAGGGTTAGGTTTTAGCTTTCCTATGTGAACGCAGGTTGCAGCAAACACAAAGTTAGGTATGCAATAATTAAAAAAGTGAGGGGTCTTTACGCGGCGCTTTCCAAGACACCTAAAGTCCAAACACGGGAAAAGTTCTCTTTGTAAAATTATTAAAGTTTTATCAAGTCAAATTATTCCCATGTGAACGCATGTTGCAGCAAACACAAGGCAGGTGAGAGGTCTTTTACACAGCTTTCAAGATATCTAAACACTAGTGACCAATGTTTTAAAACCCAAGGTGAAACCCGCCAAAGTTTCTAGGTCTTACATTGACTAGTTTAACCGGTTTCATCAGTCATAAAAACTTTTAAAATTCATCAAATACACTCTTAAAATTTTTTTAAGTCTTTATATGTTTAAACTTTATCAAACACACCCCAAATACAAATTAATCGACGACTGATTGGCGGTGATGACATCCCAGATGCAACCTCAATTGTCTCTTGAGCTCATTTCCATTAAAATCTACCCAGGAGCTGGCTGAAATAGGTTCGATTTCGACCGTATCTCACCGACACCGACGTTGGCATTCCAAGCCAGATCTCATATACGCCAGCGTCGATAACCCTCCCCATCACCCAGGAATTACTCCTCTCTTCCTCTCGACCAAAACCCAACTCACAGCACCCTCGTTAGCTGTGCCAATCGCCAGTAAAATCCCATTGTTGCCGCTGCCAGATTTATTCGATTTTCGATCGATTTACTCACTGGAAATCAACGCCGTCATCAGCATTACATTCACCGACACTTTATCTTCAAAAGCCCCAAGATTCTGGCTATCGATTATTCTCTAATCATCTTTCTAAATTCTAAGGTTTTGGGTGAATAAGAAAAGTATAAACTTAGCCTGTTGAAGCTTTTGGGTCCTAGTTAAATCGATTCAACCGATCAAACGAGGCAGGTTTTAAAACATTGCCGGTGACCAGACAAGTTGTCTTTGTAAATTTATTAAAGTTTAACCAAGTCGAATAAATATAACGCCAATCTCTAGGCAAAGATTATACATTTTTAGAGGGTTAGGTTTTAGCTTTCCAATGTGAAGTGTGAACACATGTTAATGTCAAAGAATATAATAATATCTGTTTATTATACTCCAGGTTTAATGGGTCATTTAAAAGTTTATGAGAATATCCGATTGTTCTTTTTATTTTGAAAGTATCTTGTTAATTTTAAAATATGAAGAATATAATTTTTATTTAAATCTAATAAATTCTTTAAATTTAATAAAATTATTCTTTATTTTTAAGAAAAAGACTTAATAAGAGAGAATTAATAAATAAAATATATAAAAACTTGTAATTTATTAATTAAAATTAGAATAGAGAGTAACATTTGACTCTTTAAATGTGAAAAGTCAAACTCACGTTCTAATTTATATTTTAAAGATAAAGAATCTATTTTAAACTCTTATTTTTATAGATAAATTCTTTATAATAAAAAATTTAAATCATGAGTTTTTTTGAAGATACTATTATACATCATCCTTTGATTTAATTAATAAGGTTATTCAAAAGACAACTTTTAAGACAAACTCACCTTTTCGACAAACGAAGTAGTGCCAAATAATAATGCAAAGGCAAGATATTGTATCTGCTACAAACAAAATTTAATTTAATTTTTTAAACGGAGAGTTAGTTTACTATTAAGTTTTTCAAAGGATATTTAAGCTGTTAATATTAATAACATCATTAACAGAACGGTGCGTTTTATCACCTACAGTGAACTCTTACTGTAGCAACTGCACTGTGCTCCCTCTTTGCTTAATTAAACTTTTCCTTAGTCCAAATTGATACTTTAAAAAACGAATCAATTATTATTCTCATGGAGTAATTGTACCACGATAGAATGCTGATGTGTTACATGCACCCAATTATTCAAAGCCATGTGACAGTTTAATTAAAATAAAATGAAATGGAAAACAAAAATCTAAAATTTTATTTAAAAGATATTTTAAATTACAGGGAATTTTTTTTTTTCTCGCATGATAACGGTGAGTGCCATAAGACAATTTACTTTACTTTTTTTAGTTTAATATATATAAAGTAAATAATTGCTTTCTCTGTTCCATGCACTCTATATATTGATTGTGCCGTAGCATTGTCTACACACAACACAAAATATCAATTTCTCATCTTTCTTCAATTATTTATCATCTTTTCAGTATGGCTGAAGCACTCGTTTCTGTTGTCTTGGAGCAGTTGGCTTCAATAGCTCGTCAACTAGTTGAAGAACGGTTGAGGCTAGTGGTGGGTGTTGATGATGATGTCCAAAATCTCACCCGCAATTTTCGGTCCATTCAAGCTGTCCTTGAAGATGCAGAGAACAGACAATTCAAGGAGAGTGCTGTGAGGGTTTGGTTGGATAAGCTTAAAGAGGCATCCTATGACATCGATGATGTGTTGGATGAGTGGAACACTTCTATTGGGAAATTACAAGTCAATGAAGTTGAAAATGCTTCCAAGCCTATGATCAAAAAGGTATGTTCACTCATCCCTTGTTATACATTTTGTTTTAGAAAAGTTATCCTGCCTTGTGCCATTGCTCGCAAGATAAAAAGTTTAAGTAAAACAATAGATGATATTGCTACGGAAAAAGATAGGTTTCGTTTCAGTTCGGAAGCGCGCACTATAGATATAAAACCACCAATGACTGCATCTTTTGGTGATATATCAATGGTTCATGGAAGAGAAGCTGATAAGGAGGAGTTATTAAACAAGTTATTGAATGAGAGTAGTCAAGAGCCAGCCATCTCTATTGTTTCTATTGTAGGGATGGGTGGAATCGGTAAAACTACTCTTGCTCGATTAGTTTTTGATAGTGATAAGGTGAAAACCCATTTTGACAAAAAAATATGGGTCTGTGTCTCGAAACCTTTTGATGAGATTAGGATTGCAAAAGCAATCCTTGAATCTCTTGGAGGTGATCCATCAAAACTAGGTGAACTAGAAACTATATTGCAACATCTAAGTCAAGATCTTGATAAGAATAAGTTTTTTCTTGTCCTAGATGATGTATGGACTGAAGATTTCAAAAATTGGGAACAATTAAAAGATTGTTTAAAGTGTGGTTCTCAAGGAAGTAGAATTCTAGTTACCACACGTAAGCAAAATGTTGCCAAAACTATAGGAGCCACCAACATGATCTTGTTAGGGACATTATCAGAAAATGAGTCTTGGTTGTTATTTAGTCAAATGGCATTTTCCCGTGAAGCCAGTGAAAACTTAGTAGATATTGGTAGAAAAATTGTAGCCAAATGCAAGGGCTTACCTCTTGCTATAAAAACCTTAGGAAGCCTCTTGAGTTTCAAAACAAATACTAGAGAATGGCAAAATGTTCTAGATAGTGAAATGTGGGAAATAGAAGAGGTAGAACAAGGGATATTTCCACCTTTACTATTGAGCTATTATGATTTGCCTTTTCCATTAAAAAAATGCTTCTCATATTGTGCTATTTTCCCGCAAGATCATGAGATAAAGAAAGATGAATTAATTAAGTTATGGATGGCGCAAAGTTATCTTAAGGAAAAGCGAAACAAAGATATGGAGTTAATTGGGGAAGAGTATTTTGAAAATTTAGCAATGCGCTCTTTTTTTCAAGACTTTAAGAAAAATATATATGACGGTAGAATAGAAAGCTGTAAGATGCATGATATAGTGCATGATTTTGCTCAATTTCTTACCAAAAATGAATGTTTAAGAATAGAGACTGATAATTATGTTGAGTCTCAATTAAAGTCTTCTTTAAAAAATGCTCGACACTCAATGCTAATACTTGGAAAACCAGACTTATTTCCTGTAGGCGTTGATAATAATAAAAAATTGCATAGTCTTTTGGTTAAGAGTCAAGATTCAAGAAGCCGACAGACTCTGTCCAAATTATTTGATAACTTAAGTCTACGAGCATTACAATTTAGTCGAAATGAGCATGTATACATTGAGGATACTCAAGAAATTCCCAAAGAAATAAAAAAGATGATACATTTGAGGTATCTTGATTTATCTTATAATAGCGATTTAAGAGAATTGCCTAAGGAATTGTGTGATTTATATAATCTACAAACGTTAAACATGGCCTGGTGTGTTAATCTAACAAAATTACCTCAAGAGATGGGAAAGTTAATCAACTTGAGGCATTTAATCGTTGATGGTCATATATTAAAATACATGCCAAAAGGAATCGAAGGATTAACTTGTCTTCGAACTTTGGAATATTTTGCATGGAGTTGTAGTAGCCATGGTGGTAAAGCATTTACTATTGAAAGTTTGAAAAACTTGACAAATCTTCAGCATCTTGGTATTTCGAGGTTAGAAAATGTGGGAGATGTGGGTGAAGTTAAGCGAGCAAACCTTAGGAATAACACAAACCTCCTCTCTTTAGTTTTAGATTTTGGAATTGAATCTACATTAATGCAAAGGGTTGAGCGTGAGAGAGATGAAATGGTTGTTGAGGCCTTTGAACCACCTCCAAATTTAGTGAAATTATGTATAAAGGATTGTGGAGGTAAAACTATAAGGCTAAATTGGATAGCATCATTAACTCAGTTGAGGGAGTTAACACTTATTCATTGCTACAACTGTGAGTATTTGCCTCCTTTCGGAAAGTTATCATCTCTTGAATCACTCTTTATAGATTGGCCTTTGAGTGTAAAAAAGGTGGGTAATGAATTTTTGGGAATAGAAAGTGATGGCAATGCCAGATCTTGTATTGTCTTTCCCAAATTAAAAAGGCTTGTGTTTGATCGAATGAATGGATGGGAAGAATGGGATGATATTACTTTTAAAGGAGATGAATTAGCTATCACAATCATGCCATCTCTACATTACTTGAAGATTTCTGGAGCCCACAAATTAAAAACGCTCCCCAATTACATTCTTCAATCACCAACACTAAAACAATTGGAGATAGAGTATTGCATTATTCTAAGTCAGCGTTACAAGAAGGAGACAGGTGAAGATTGGCACAAGATCTCTCACATTCCTGATGTCACCATCTTCCCTAATAATGTTAGATTCCTGACACAAGACGAAGACGAGGAAAGTGACGAAGACAGGTAATTTCTTCTCCATTTTAAAGTATGTTGTTATCTACAATTAAAATTTGTCTGATGTATGATGCTGTTTTGTTAATTGTCAATGAAATCATATTCATGTTTGATGCTTCAACTATTTTCTAATGTTTGGTGTGCTTTATTTTATTGAATTTATAATATAAATACCAAATATACTTATTGACTTTATTCTAAATTTTGGGTTAGTTATAGTCTCTCTATAGATTACACTCTTCAATCGCCAACATGAAAACAATTCTACGTCCGCATTACAAGGAGGAGATAGGTGAAGACTGGCTTGTTGAAATATGATTACAAGAGCTACAATCGCCATCCACTCACTGTCGCCAGTAATTTCTTCTCTCTCTCTTTGTACATATGCTCATTAACTCACCTTTACAGTTTTTTCTATTACATTTATTTTATATTGCAAATATTGAATTACTATATATTAGTTCTGATTTTAGTTATCAGGTTTATGCAGGCAAGGTGTTTGAAAGATGAAATGGATGAACCAAGGCTTGCGTTTCAGGGGACCTTATGGATATTGCATTCTAGCTTTCACTCAGAATGACCTTTTAAAATGATTGATGAAAAGAGCAATGGACAGACTGGTTGATGGCTATTGTGGGAAAGTTTTCCCTGTGAATGTTTTGGATGAATTTGTGTTATTCTTTGCTGTTATAAGGTGGCATCTTCCTCCTACGGCTTTCAATGCTTTGGCCATTATTTCACAACCAAAGGTATTAATCTTCACCAACTATTGCTTTGAATTGTATAATGTAGGAGTTGATTTTTTTAATGCTGGCTAAGTCATGCTCATCTCTTAAATAAACATAGGATACCCTATTGTAGGCCTTAATTGAATCCTCATGTCTATTGGGCTACTATAAACACTATCAAACATTTCTCCAAGCATCTTAGAGATAAATTTCATGTCGTTATCGTCAACAAGTGCTGGCTGTGTTGCCAATAACTATGAATGATTCCACTTAGTAGTCTAGTATTTAGCTTTGCAATTTTTCGTTCATTAACCAATATTTATTTTGCATTTCCTGTTGTAGGTTTTCTTTTTCAAGATACAAGTAAGAAACACCGGACACAAATGCTCATTTACTAACTTTTACACACTTAGTAGTTGTACAACCTAAATAAGATTGTTTAACATCTGTATATTTTTTTATCACAATAGTCCATTTTTTCACTAGATGAAATTAACATGGAGACAGCATGGTTTAATGCTGCTTTATATCATATATACTGAAAGTGTTTATTTTGTTAATGGTGTTGGCTAAGTCTTTCTCATCTCTGAATGCTGCAGACTCTTAATAAAATAGGCTTTTGTTGAATCCTCATGTGTGTTTTCTAAGGACAACAGGGAAGAGTACGTTTCTTGAGGAGAAAACAAGGCATCTTGGGATAGAATTTGTGCTGATTTTTTTCTCAAGCGGGACAGACTGAATGCTGGAGAAACATTATTTCTTATGCAATGATGTGTGGTGTACAATGGAGGAGGCCTAATATGGCTTCTATGAAGTGGCATTCAGTGCTTTGACCATTGTTTCACACTCAATGGTATTTAAACTTCACTCAGCAATTTCTATATTATATCTCGTTGGAGTTGCTTTTGTAAGTATTGGCTAATGTTTCTCATCTTTTCATGTTGCAGCCTCTTCTACAGTACAAATTTGATGTCTTGTTCTAGACGTTTTGATTATAGTTACTTAAGGCATCACGCCTGACGTGTTTTGAGCTGCTATAAATGGATGCAATCAAGGACTTTTCCAAGCATCTTAGCCATTGAATTTAATTTCAATATCATCAACAAGTTTTGGCTCCATAAACAATTACTATCAATGATTCCAGTATAAGTTTAGGTATTCATGTTAGAAATGTGTGCTAATAGACAAAGCACATCTGAATTTTCTATTAAAAATGATTCTGTTTTCTTGGGGTTGCAATTGATGAGAGATGTTGGTGAAGCTAATCATATAGAATTCCGGAGGTAATTTCCTTGCTAATTTGTTTTTGATATTTCTTTTGTCTATTATCAGTTTCGAATGCCATTTTTTTAAGTTAAGAAAATTTGATTTTGATATTTCCATTCCATCAATGCTGCAAGTTAGTTATTTGATAAATTTCTTGAAGAATCAAACTCTAGGCGTTGGTCGTACCATTGAGGTTGTCAAAAGACATTTTCAGGAGTTGATATTAAGATGTTTGGTTTATCTTTCGGCTTCATTTAATAAACAAGCGTCAAATTCCATCTAAAGAAAGTGTTTCATGCTGGACCATCAGGATTAAGAAACTCATGTTTACCAATTACCACTAAACTTTAAGGTGAGCATGATTGAATGAATTAAGGCTTGTACAATCTTCTAGCAGTTCCATTCAACACTTTGGTACATTATTTAGTGAAATTTCTCTAAGTGTCTATTAATTTGTGAGAGCAATTATTCAAATTACTTTCTTCAGCTTCTGTGATTCTTTGCTTAAACTGTTAATTTGACATTTCTTCACGATACAGGCACTCTAGTTGTTATGCAATCTTGCCCCCTCCACGAGAGCTCTCCACTGTAAAGCAAGTCATAAATTTTGATGAATTGCTTGAGAATCAATTAATGTCAGGAGTTAGTGTTCTACACGTGTGGCACATTCAATAATGAGGTAGGTGCTTTTTCCCTTTTCTATCTACTCAGCTGCAACATTTTAAGATATATTGTTTATCAATATGCTGGCCTTATGTAAAACAGGCATCAAATTCCATCTATTGAAGATGTTTTAGTTGGATTGTCAAGATTCAGAAAGCCAGTGTAAGGAAAATGATGAACATTTGATACATTCTTGCTTGTTACCAAGCTCATTGGCTACAGTGTTCTGTGCTTGCTAATTGCATGGATTTATATATTTTCACCTTATTTTTCATTCCCCTCAATCACTTGGAATTCAGGTAATAATTTTTTTTTTTTTGCAAGAAAGTTATTTATGAGTTTAAAGGTTGTATCGTTTTGTGAAGCAAGTACATTAATTTGTGTTATCGTTCTACTGTTTGTGATAAAAATCTTAATTTCCTATAGCAGTATCTTTGCTAAAGGCAGGGGAATTAAAAGAGGATCAAAATTGGAAATAAATGAAGTGAAGGATTGGTTGAAGGTATATTTATATCAGTCAAATTTCTATGGATAATTGGATACAACCTTTCTTTTTCCATTTTTGTGCTTGAATTATAGAATTATAAGTTGTAAATTTTTTCTCCTGATATGTTCATTTGGATCCATTTTCATTGTCATCTAGTGGACTTAACAGGGGATGATACAGCAAAGGTGATATGATGGCAAATAATTCAATAGAATCAGTTGTTCCCATGGATGTTAAAAACTTCAAGTGGTTAGCCTCAAGCAAGGTAGTATATCTTTCATCAGTTCTATAATATGCACTGATGATTCTTATTTTAAAACATATAAAAAAGTTTGTTTCAATTCATAAATTCTTTTGTTCATCACAATAATCTGTTGGAATAACTAAGTTTAGCAATATCAAAATGTAACATTCGGGTAGGAAAATAACTACTCTAGCTTTTGGTTGAATGATAATAATTGCAGCTTTCTTGATTCTTCAGGCACTACAGCGGGTTGTGAACATTTAATCCATCAGATACATTATTGAAAGTATATATAAAAGCAAGCACGGCTTAACTATGATCTGTTGCCAGGGTAAGACTAACTCTAGCTTTGACACAAGTCATTCCTCCTAAATATATGCATGTCGTATTATGTTTAAGATGGAATATTTTTGTATTTACAGCGAATGGCAGAAGAAATTCTTTGAAACTGATGAAGCATTTTTGGCTAGATATTACGTCTTTGAAAAGGTGGGATAGTCTTTTCCAGTGAATGTTTTGGATGAGTTTGTGTTCTTCTTGGCTGGTATCAAGTGGTATTATTTCACTACAAAAGGTAATAAACTTCACCAATTATTGTTTTATATTATATACTGTAGGAATTGATTTTGTATGTGTTGGCTATGTCTCTCTCATTTCTTAATGTTGCTGGCTCTTAAATAAACATAGGATGTCCTGTAGTGTAGTAGGCTTTTATTGAATCCTCATGTGTGTTTGCTGAGGACAGCAAGGAAGAGTATGTTTCTAGAGGAGAAAACGAGGCATCTTGGGATTAAATTTGTTGTGTTTTTTTGTCCAATTATTTGTTTTGCAAACTTGTGCTCATGGACACTCAATTAATTCTGAATTTCAGGTGTTGATCGAACCATCGAGGTTGCCAAAAAAGAAAATTACATAATCTTGTCAAAGTAATGAGGTTCATTTTGCATTTTACATCTACACATACTACCTCACATTAAGTTGTTTGGTTTATCTTTTGGCTTTATTGAGTAAACATTTTCACTGCTAGTTCCATTGTTGCAAGCGAAAGATAGGATTAACTCTAGTTTTGATAAAGTCTTTTGTTTAAGATGGAATAGTTTTTGTATTTACGGTGGATGGCAGAAGCAAATCTTTTGAAGTGATGAAGTCCCAGCTCTGCTAGCACCTGTAAATATGTTAAATTACTTGTAAAATTGTTGATATAGACACGCACCACTCTTTTTAATTTTCAATAAGAAAAGTAATAAAAACAACCAAACACTTTTTTTTTTTTTAATTTTTTTTAAGCGAAAATTCTCTTTCATGACCAGTCAAGCCAACTTTTAAACGACATCAACGAAAAAATGAACTCAGATCGATAAATTCATCGAAAAAGGGAAAGGGAGAGGTAATTTTGCATGCCCATATTCTTTTTAACTTCACCTATGTTACTTAATGTCATTATCTTGCATGCACATGTTTTCAGACTATGATATGAATTTAAATAGCTCAGGTTCAGGGATGTAGAAATGAACTTTTGGTTTGGGAAGATATGGAGATATATTGCTTGCTGAATTTTATCTGGTTTTCCTCTTAGATGATACTCTTCTTTTGAGAAGCAGGTGCCCTGTTTGCCCTTGCTGTTTCACTACAGAGCTAATAAACAGTATGTTATTCTATCTGGCTATAGAAGGGTGCATAGTTTGAGTGCATAGCTTTCTATGTTACTTTCTTCATTGGTCAGTTGGCCTATATTGTATTTCCATACTTTTCTTAAAGCATATTCATGTAGGTGTTGTCATGACATTGGCCGTGAGCAAGCAAGCTGCAAATAAAGCACTTTTAAAGACTGTATTCCTGGTAATCCACTTCCACCCCTATGCAACCCTTATTCAGCATCATAAAATTTTTAAGTTTATAATTTGATTGTGGAACATGCTTCCAGGTCATGTGCGATTGTTTAATCAGCGTAAAACAATTTGATGTTTGTCATACTTGATAAAACACAGGTATGCTCCTTTTCTATTGAATTTTATTCAGTAGCTTGAGATATCACAAGTTGTTTATTTACGTAATTTACTTTGGATTGTTTGTTGATCATTTTCTTTCACAATGAGCTGCCATTTTTATTTGTCTGTTCTTCTTTGTTTATAGACACCATTAGAAAATTTAGAACCTGTTCTAAGAAAAGATATTCAGAAGGTAAGGCTTGGTGCTCATTCCATTTTAGTTTTTAAAATTGACTTTAATCAGTTGATTTTTAATCCTTATTTCTCTTGAACTGCAGATATGGGATTCTGTTCCTAAGCCACAAGAAAATTACACAATTTCGTCGAAAGTCATGAGGTTCATTTTACATCTAACATCCTACCTCACCAATTATGCTTTATATTAAAAATGTGGAGTTGATTTTGTATGTGTGTGCTAAGTCTTTCTCATTTCTTAATGTTGCAGGCCCTAAATAAACATAGGATGTCTTGTAGAGTAGTAGGCTTTTGTTGAATCCTCGTGTGTTTGCTGATACAGCAGAGAAGAGTATCTTTCTTGAGGAGAAAACGAGGCATCTGGGATTAAATTTGTTCTTTTTCTTGTCAAGTGGGACAGACGGAATGCTTGAAAAACATATTTCCTATGCAATGAAGCGGTGCAGAATTGAGGAGGCCTAATGTGGGGAAGTTATTATGGTGATTTATGGATTGGACTGTGTTATTCTTGATTCTATGAAGTTGAAAATCGGTCTGCAGCTTTCACTGCTTTGGACGTGATTCACACTCAAATGGTTTTAAACTCAACCAATAATTATACATTTTAGAGTTGATTTTATAAGTTTTGGCTAATCTTTCTCATCTGTTAATGTTGCAGCCTCCTCTACAGTACAAATTTTATGTCTTGCTGTGGACATTGTTCTTAAGGTTATTGAAGCATCAATCCGGCATGTTTTGAGCTACTATATATGCAATCAAGGAATTTCATGTTAGTGTTATCACCAAGTTCTGCTGCATAAACATTGCTATAAATGATTTAGTATGTATTCAGTTATTTGTTTTGGAAATTGTGCTCATGAACAGACATAATTAATTCTGAATTTCAGGTGTTGGTTGAACCATCAGGTTGCCAAAACACAATCTTGTCAAAGTAATGAGGTTCGTTTTGCATTTTCCATCTACACTGTCATTTCCATTATTGAAAGCGAAAGGTAAGATTAACTCTAGTCTTATATAAGTCTTTTGTTTAGATGGAATAGTTTTTTTTTTACACTGGATGGCAGAGAAGTCTTTGAAGTGATGAAGTCCAGCTCTGACCATCACAGTTGTTGGATAGGTATTTGGTTATTACCTACCACACTTATTTGTAAATATATTTATTTACTTGTAATTGTATGTGAGAGTTTAATGCTTTTTTTTTTTTTTTTTTTTTTGAGAGAGAGAGAGAGAGAATGTTAATATCGAGTGACAAGAAAAATTAGGTATTTGAGTGTTCTTTAATTGAGAAAGGTATTAAAGGGTTTTAAGGTCAGGTTAGGGTTATTTGTGAGTGATTAATATTGTATTGTGTTTGTGATATTTCTAATGGGTTGATCACGTCCCTGGATGTAGGCAAATTTTGCCGAACCACGTAAATCTGGTGTTTTTGTGTGATTGATTTTATTTATTTATTATTAATTATTCACCGCTTACAATCCAATTTAGGTGGTTTTAACCCTTTCACATCCTGGTCTGGAAAAAATTATTTTAAACTTCATATCACCATTAATTAAAGTAATTTTTTCTATTAATTTTGCATCTCACCATCTAATGGTTTTAACTCCATCATAGTCCAACTAGCACAAATTTATTCTTTTGAGTTTCACCAAAACATGTTTACTTATTAAAAAAAAATCTCTTCAAAAGAGGCAGCCATCAAATCAAGTGGACTTCGACTCATCCATTTGATGAGGAAGCCCACAGGCCCAATACATTTTATGGTTGGACTAACAATAATAATATGGGCTTAATAAACTTCGGGTAATTTCATATAGTAAATGCTAGTGATATTGAATAATTTAGAGTTAATGACATTAACTCTCCTAAGGTGTGAGATTTCGGAATAACAAAAAAGTTTTAATATATAATAAAACACAAGAGAGTATTTCGGTAATATTATGAACTTTTAACTTTGTAAACTTTAAAACTCTTTAACAGCTTAACTTTAAAGGTTTTCGATATTTCAAAGGAATTTTTGATACTTCAAATACTGTAGGAGATTTTTATTATTTTATCATGCATTAGAATCTATTAACCCATAAATTTAATGAAATATGTTACTACTGGAAAATCAAGGGCTGACGTAAGGATCACGTGATGGTGAGCTGCTCCTGTCAGAATGATAAACCCACGTCAGGCCTGCCAATAGCTATGGAGCTCTCACGTGTCCGTTTGTCTGCTCTAAATCGCGTAAAATCAGTTTGGAAGGTGGGAAATGTGACATAAAGTTGGATTTACTCCTGACATTCACACCAACCCATGGGTTTACTGATGATTATTTGCATTAACCTCACTATAAAAAGAGGAGGACCCCTTCATTAAAGGGATTCGGCTATTTTTACTTGAAATTAGCCTCTCTCTCTGTCAACTTTGTATTTACTTTTCTTGTCAATTATTTTGTAAGTCAGTCCGCTGTTGCGACCTACCCACTTTATTAATACAAAATCAGTGAATGTAGGACTTGCTACCTTAGCATCCGAACCACTTTAAAAGGCTTTCCTTGTATTTATTTCTCTTTTTACTCATAATCACGTGTGCCTCTTGATCAATCAACGTGTGCACGTGTCGATTAGTTGGTGTCTAAAATCACGCATCAACAAAATACAAGCCCGAGTAAAAACTCTAAGCACTTACTACAAGACCTATCAACTAAATCTTCTTACAATATTTCATTATTAAAAAAAAAAAAAAAAAAAACCACATTTTTGGCATTATATGCATAAATATGATAAGATTTAATGGGACATTCTATCAATTTCAATCAAAGTGGTTTGAATAAACTTTTTTAGCCCTATAATGACATTTCGTCCCCTCTTAGTAGGGGTCACTCTGATATGTTTACAAACAACAAGGTGCATCAGTAGTCTTGACACAAGAGGGGTTTAATGATTTTCCTAACTGGGTCCCACCTGCATCAATTTTTCAGCACTTTGGATGTAATCAAGTGATGCGTGCTTCCACGCGCTCTAAAGAAGGCGGCTATCAGGCCGTCCACTTTTCCCAAAAGATACATGGGGCGGCCCGTGGATCCCATAAGTCGGTGGCCGTAGCACAACGCTGGGACCCATCTTTGCACCACTCCACTCACTCCTTTCATTCACCCAACCGCAGACTTTACCACCCTCAAACTGTAACTTACAGTTCCAATAACATCATGACACATCATCACCCTGACTTTGAAGATATAAAATCTTATGCGTGCTTCATTAATATATATTTTACCAATAATTCGATAAAAATCTTTACAAAATCCCTTATATTAAGTTATTTATTACACTAATTATATTATTTAAATATTTTATGTATATATAATTCTAAATATTATAATAATATTTAATTAGTCATGAAGCATTTTTAAAGAATGCTACGTGCAAAAGGTGGGAGTGATCAACCGATTAGTTTAATTAATATTTTAATTAGGGCCACCTAGACAATATTAATAAATTTTTATTTATGAAGCCAACCTGCAGGGACGTGGCAAATAATTGGAACACAATGCGCAACCGGAGGAATCTCACCGGACTCGTACACAAGTATTTCCCAGCCCCCATCTTCTGAAATCTGATCGACACGCCCACTCTTTTAAAATTTTCAATAAGAAAACTAATAAAAAAAGACGACACACATTTTTTATTTTTTATTTTTTTAAGCAAAAATTCTCTTTCGTGACCAGTGAAGCCAACTTTTAAACGACATCAACAACAATAGCAACGAAGAACAAAAGTTGAACTCAGATCGATCAATTCATCTTTCTCTCTCGCTCTGTCTCTCTCTCTCGGTCTTTCAAAACGACAGTCCAATGGGTGCGTTTTACGCTTTCTTCTTTATTTCTAAGCCCTGATTTGTGCGCTATCTTAATCTGCTAATTAAGTTTTTCTTCCGCTTGGAAACGTCGCCGTTTTTAGCTGATCCGTTAATGTGAATAGTCATTAATCTTGTTTTCGTTGATTTCGATTGTGTTAGAATACGTTATGTGTTAATTTATGGTTCTTAATTGAATTTAATGTGACGTTATGCGATTTGTTTGTAACGATTTGATGTTGATTCTAGGGTTTTGAGCTCCTTAAAATGTGAATCCGAAGCATTTGTGCTTTTTGGATTGGGAACTATATGTGATGTTTGTTTGTTTGTTTGTTTTTTTTTTTTTTTTTTTTTAATTTTTTTGGTTGCTAAGAATAGAAAATAAAATTTTAGATGGAACTTTTGAATCTAATTTCTAAACTCAGCTGATGGAGGAGTTTACAAGGTGAGCATGGAAGTGAATTTAGAATAAAGTGTGATTCGCGTGATTTACAGTTTGGATTAAAGATAAATAGTTATAAGTTACTATTATTCTTTGCGGTTTGTGATTTATCAAAGAAAATTATTGTATTTAGGTGGCAATTTGAAGTTTTATAAGCTGTGGATTTGATTACTCGCTAATATGTGAACACCTTTTCTTCTCCAGTGAATAGTGAAGAATCTTGCTCAACTCAGCTTATTGATGGGGATGGTGCATTCAATGTTACTGGAATTGATCACTTTATTAAGGATGTAAAATTGGGTGATTGTGGGCTATCATATGCTGTAGTCTCCATCATGGGACCACAAAGTAGCGGTATGTGTTCTCCTTGAGCTAATGATGTATGTTTTACAAATCATGCATTTTGAAACAAGGGTTTAATGGTTTATTCTCAAACCAAATTCAATTTGAATGAGCATTGCACATTAGAAGAGTATTACCCTGTGAATTAGAAATTGTTGAAGCATGCTGAGATATAAGTCAGCTCATTTGTCCCTGACAGCATAGTTGTTGTGTTGATATGAAAAATGGAACGATAATATTTGGGCACCATCTCTTTTATTTTTTGGTTATTTTTACTAGTTAAGATATTCTTTCCTGTCCTTCTGTTTAGTTAGTTTGTTATTTATTGATTTGTTTATTATAGCTTGCATAAGTTGCAGCGTATGCAAATTTAAAGAGTTTCACATTGTTTTCCATGATAATTACAGGGAAGAGCACACTGTTAAATCATTTGTTTGGTACTAAGTTCAGGGAAATGGATGCATTTAAAGGAAGGCATGTTCTCTTGATGCTCTCTTGATATTATCATGGTACTTCAATTTTTTGTTAATGGAAGATGAAATGACTTATAAAAATGTGGTTCTCTTCAGGTCTCAAACAACCAAAGGTATATGGTTAGCAAGATGTGCAGGCATTGAGCCCTGTACTCTTGTAATGGACTTGGAGGGTACTGACGGAAGGGAAAGGGGAGAGGTAATTTTGCATGCCCATATTCATTTTAACTACACCATATGCTAATTAATGTGATTATCATTTGCATTCACATATTTTCAGACATATAATCTGAATTTATTTAGCTCAGATTCTTGGATGTAGAATTGAACTTTTGGTTTGAAAAGATATTGAGATATATATTGCTTCCTGAATTTATCTGGTTTTTCTCTCAGGATGATACTGCTTTTGAGAAGCAAAGTGCCCTCTTTGCCCTTGCTGTTTCAGATATAGTGCTAATAAACATGTATGTTATTCTGTGTGGCTATGGAAGGGTGCATTAGATGAGTGCATAGCTTTCTATGTTTCTTTCTTTTCATTGGTCAGTTGGCCATATATTGTATGTTTGTACTTTTCTTAAAGCATATTCATGTAGGTGGTGTCATGACATTGGCCGTGAGCAAGCTGCAAATAAACCACTTTTAAAGACTGTATTCCAGGTAATCCACATCTGTCTACCCCTATGCAGCCCGTATTCGGAATCATAAAAATTTTAAGTTTATAAAATGATCGTGGTATATGCTTCCAGGTCATGATGCGATTGTTTAGTCCACGTAAAACAACTTTGATGTTTGTCATACGTGATAAAACACGGGTATGCTCCTTTTTCTATTGAATATTATTCAGTAGCTTGAGATATCACAAGTTGTTTATTTAGGTAATTTACTTTTGATTGTTTGTTGATCCTTTTTTTTCACAATGAGCTGTAGTTTTTATTTTTCTGTTCTTCTTTGTTTATAGACACCATTGGAAAATTTAGAACCCGTTCTAAGAGAAGATATTCAGAAGGTACAAGGCTTAGTGCTACTCCCATTTTGGTTTTTCAAAACTGACTTTATTGATCTTGATTTTTAATCCTTATTTCTTTTTCTCTTGAACTGCAGATATGGGATTCTGTTCCTAAGCCACAAGCTCATAAGGAAACTCCTCTTAGTGAATTCTTTAATGTAAGTGTAATGCTCTATGCAGGGGCATGCCTTCATTCTTTGATGGAGGAATGATTATATTTTAAACTGATTGTGTTGTTTACTAAAAATGGTCAGGTCGAAGTTGTTGCTCTCTCAAGTTATGAAGAAAAGGAAGAGCAATTCAAAGAGCAGGTACCTGATGCATATCTAATGTCCCATAAGGGATAATTTGACTTCTTATAAATTGAAATAATTATGTTTTGTTTGTTCAGATTGCAAAACCTGCCCATACATATGGTGGGCTATTTTGAACCTTTGAGCTGTTTGTAACTTTTATTATTCCTTTTGGGTATTGATTTTGCATCATTGATTGCCTTATCATTGAAACCAAATGTGTTTTTTCCCTCATCAAGATGCCCAGTTATTGAGATGTATTATGTGCAATATTATATACCTATAAGCTAGATCTTGGCTTGTAATTTGGAAATATTTTTTTTTTTTTTTTTGCTTGAATGAACTTCTATATCATAAATTTGTTTGTTTTGGCTCTGTGAAAGTCTGTAATTGGATTTTTTTTCTTTTTTTGGTTAAATGAAGTCTTTAATATATATTTGTTTGTTTTATTTGACTTGTTATAAATTAAGGTTGCTAGTTTGAGGCAAAGATTCTTTCATTCTATTGCACCGGGAGGGCTTGCTGGAGATCGACGCGGTGTTGTTCCAGCTTCTGGGTTTTCTTTTAGTTCACAGCAAATCTGGAAAGTCATTAAGGAAAATAAGGACCTTGACCTTCCTGCTCACAAGGTAATTTTTTTTAATATCCTTTCTTCATTGGGTTTAGTTTTAAATATCCTTATGATGTTGTTTATGTTGTACATGACACATCTATTTCTAGGTCATGGTAGCTACTGTTCGCTGTGAAGAAATTGCAAATGAAAAGTATTCCAATTTTGCTGCAAACGAGGTACCAGATTTTTTATATTTTCTATCTTTTTTTATTTGCTATTTTTAAATATTAGTTGATGGTCCATATGTTAGCACCGGCTGAATTGGTTTGAAATTGTCACAGGAGTGGTGTGAGTTGGAGGAGGCTGTACAATCTGGTCCAGTTTCTGGTTTTGGGAAGAAGCTCAGTTCAATCCTTGATACTAGTCTATCAGGGTAAGATTATTTCATTTCATATCTATAATTTCCTAGTGGTGTTGCTACAGTATATGAATTAACCTTAAGATAAGAAGCTTTATATTCACTGTGTGTGCACTTGCAAGTATTTACTTTGGTATATGCTATTTTTTTTTTCTATACATAATTCACAAGCATTTCAAAAGTCATTGATTTTCTTTTAATTTATCAAATATCATTTGCTTCTTCATGTCAGGTATGATGCAGAAGTTCTGTATTTTGATGAAGGTGTCAGATCTTCCAAGCGAAAGCAGCTTGAAGAAAAATTACTGCAAGTAATACATTTTGTCAGATTTAATTAATTGTTATTTTCTGTTTTCCTCTATACATGTCTGTGCTATGGCAATAAACAGAGGATGTGTTGAATATGATGCCCTTCCCATGATATGTTTGTTTTATTGCTTAAATCTTATTCAATCATCTTTTTCTTTTTTAGCTTGTCCAACCGGCATTCCAATCTATGTTGGGACATATAAGGTCTGGAACACTGGATAGATTCAAGGATGCATTTGATAAGGCTTTGAGTGGAGGTGAAGGGTTTTCCTCAGCTTCTCTTCGCTGCTCTACGTCTTATATGGCTCAATTTGATGAAGGATGTGCAGGTATGTAACATTTTGTTCTTCTAGCAGAATTGAATTAAAGCTTATTAAACAAAAAGTGAAAAATGGAGTGGGAAGGACAAATTCCTAAAACCAAAGGATATGTGTAATTTAAGTCATTGTACAATTTAGAAGACATCAGTAGTCAAATCTGACATTTAGTTCATTGTTACATTAATTTGTGGGAGGAGTGAGACTTGACATGCTAGGTTAGTGATTGGGCTTAAGGCAATTGGTATGGAGCTGATGTGCTTACGCAAGTACAATTTGTGATTGATTGATTGCAGATGTTGTAATTGTACAAGCAAACTGGGACACTTCTAAAGCACAGGATAAACTCCAACGTGACATAGATGCACATATTGCATCTGTTCGTGCTGCAAAGCTGGCTGAAATTACTACTCAGTTTGAGGTATAATTATATATTTCATTTTTTTGGACTTTTTACTTCTTCAGCAGAGTGCCTTTTAATTCACTGAGAAGAATATGGAGTAATAGTGTGAGCTTCTGTATGATGATAATATTGTTTCTGTTTGATTTGGGCTAAATTATCAAAATAGAAGTTTATATTGTGATTTTATAATAATTTAAATGTATTTATGACTAATGCCCTTTTCTATTAATGGTATTGCCATTGGTGGGTCTTCTACGTGACATCACAAATATTTTGTCTTACTAGTACTCTGCTTAAAAATTTATGATTGGCCAAAAAAGATGTCTCTGTTTCTGATGGTTATACTTTGTTTGCAGTCAAAACTAAATGAAGCATTAGCAGGACCTGTGGAAGCTCTCTTAGATGGAGCTAATAATGATACCTGGCCTGCAATAAAGAAACTTCTACAGAAAGAGACTAAATCTGCTGTCTCTGGGCTATCTAGTGCACTTTCTGGTTTTGACATGGATGAAGTTGCCAAGGAGAAAATGCTTGCAAATCTAGAGAACTATGCGAAGGGTGTGGTTGAAGCAAAAGCACGGGAAGAAGCTGGAAGGGTTTTGAATCGAATGAAGGACAGGTAGCATCTCTACCATTAATTGATTTGAATTGTTTGATTTCTGTAAGTTTCTAACCTATGGGGATTAACTGTAATGTTGCAAACAGGTTTACAACGTTGTTTAGCCATGACTCTGATTCAATGCCACGGATTTGGACTGGGAAAGAAGACATTCGAGCAATTACCAAAACCTCTCGCTCTGCTGTATGACTATCTATGAAAATCAAGTGTTGAATCTTATTGTTGTATATTTTTAGCTCCCCTGTACTCATATATATTTATGTTGCTATCCAGTCCTTAAAATTGCTTTCTGTTATGGCTGCGATCCGTTTGGATGATGAGACTGATAATATTGAGAGTACACTTACCGGTGCTTTGGTGGATTCTACAAACAGTGCTGCTTCTACCAATAGGGAGATTTCAAAATATGATCCACTGGCCTCAAGCACTTGGGAACAGGTTACTTTTTATTGCTGGCATTCTCTTTTCTGAAATCTCAACTTGAATACTTGAATGAAAAGCCAAAATAGATGTGAGTAAAACATTAAAGAATGGTAGTATCAAACTTCCATATGATGCCTGATGTTTGGATATCAAAAATTTTTTTAAACATTTGCAAACTGCTTGATTGAGGAATATTCTGGCTTCATACTTGTTTGTAATGTTTGTGTGGTTAAGTGGAAATTCCCCAGGGAATTTCAAACCATAGACTCTTTATTGGGGACATTTGTCTATGGAGCATCTTCTTCTTTTGAATAAGTGGTTGTTCCTCCTATGTTTTAATACAGGTTCCATCCTCAAAAACGTTGATCACACCTGTTCAGTGCAAATCTTTGTGGAGGCAATTCAAGTCAGAGACAGAATATTTTGTTACTCAGGCCATTTCTGCTCAGGCATGATATCTTACATATTAGTTCATTTTACCTCTCTTGCTTTATATTCGCATATCTGATGAATGTGCTAAACAATATTCCGGCTTTTGGTTCTGATCAAGGTCACTAGTGCTTTAGCATTGTTGTTGATGGGGCCTTATTGGTTTGTCCTTTTTTCTGAAAAATGTTTTCAGGAAGCTAACAAACGCAACAACAACTGGTTACCACCTCCATGGGCAATTGCTGCCATGGTTGTCCTTGGATTTAATGAATTTATGACTCTTCTAAGGTATCTATCTTGCAATTGTGGTATCAAGATATGGTGTTTGAGCATTACATATCTTACATGTGTATCTTCTCATGGCAGAAATCCCCTTTATCTAGGCGTCATCTTTGTTGGCTATTTACTCATGAAAGCGCTTTGGGTGCAATTGGACATTTCTGGTGAATTCCGCAATGGCGCTGTAAGTATCCAGATTTTTTCTTTTATGTTTTCTAGAACGCCATCTTATGAGCATTGGAATTTGAAGTTTGAGATGAAATCCTAATTCATACCAAACACTGTATGTAAAACTGATAGTTATAATTCCATGTTATAAAATTCCCTTCTGAAAATAAATATTTAACTCTTCATGTTTTTCCTAATAAAAATAATTATGGGTCGTGATGTGTGATAATTCTTTCAGCTTCCCGGTCTTCTGTCCTTGTCTACCAAGCTCCTTCCCACAGTCATGAACCTTCTCAGGAAACTAGCAGAGGAGGGGCAAGTACCTGCAACTAATGATCCTCCAAGAAACCCTGTCATTCCATCGAAGAACTACCGAAATGGCGTAAGCACAAGTAGTGATTTGTCATCAAGTGCCTCATCTGAAGTAACTTCATCCGGAAACGGAACTGAGCAATCAAGTTTGTCAAAAGAAGACTAGATGAAAAGCTCTTACACAAAAGTAGCTCTACTGTGTTCAAAGATGCAAGTGTTCTGCCCACCCTCGGTGGGGTGTGGCACTGTGTATGGTCCACAAATTCGAATTCGACTCACTTTCAACATGTGAGAGTTATTTATCCTCGAGGCATTATTTTTTTGTGGAAGTGCCGCATACAGGGGGAGACTAAGATTTGTTGTGAAAAAATCCCCCATTTAATAGGTTATTGATTTTCCTTATTGTAAGTCTTATTTTTCCACCCAATTTTGTCTCGTGAGTAATGGACCACTTGTTTTTGATTGTATGTAACTGAAACCTGTGATGTCCTTTTTCTTCTTTCTTATTCATTCATCGAACGATGCCTCTAACTCTGTTGAATTAGAAACAAGGTTTGATTTATTGTCATTATAGACTGGACTGCGAGCATTTAGAGTAAAGAGCATGAGCATCTTGTAAAATGGTATATGATTCACAAAACAAAGTGGTATGATCAAAACCTGTGGTGGAGTTATATATCATTCATTCTAACTAAAACATTAAGCTAACATCTTATTCTCTATGTGGGCAATTTTCATTTTTCATGAAACTGAAATAGGAGGGAAAGTTGGGAGAATAGCAGTGCCCCTGGTAATAATCTTTATTTGTTTAAGTACACAGCACAGAAGAATTTCTAAGAAGTAAAACTTAGAAAACTCATCGGTAAATTGGAGATGGTGTAAATAGGTATACAGTTTCACGTTTGATTTTTTATTTGAGCATTCACGATCTAAGTGGGAGGTTGTAACAGTGGTTTACTGCACAAATCTCCTCTAATCCAATGGCAGGGATAGTACCGTAGTTCATCTTGCGCCACTTCATTGATGAAAAATCAAAACTTATTGATATGTGTTTGGTCCATTTTGTATTCCTTTCTTCTTTTTATTTCTTCCTTATATTTGTCCAATGCTCATTTCAGATTTTGCTGACAACTTTGTTTGTTGCCTTCATTGTCCACTGAGATTTGAGATCCCAATCCTGAAGGGTCTGAAGTTTTGGAGATCTTTGTTTAATATATATCAACTTCTAATAGTATCTTTTACCATTGGATAATAGTAATACTGTCTAAGTACTCACTAGAGAATTATGTTATACCAAAGAGATTCTCACTCAAGTTTAATAAAATAAAAGAAACCGCCTTTTTTTTTTTTTTTTTTTTTTTCAACCAAGATGTCCGACTAGTTTACGCGTATCTCGACTAATCTTTGGAGGAGACTAGCACAATAACCCACTACCACGGCCCTCCACTTAAATCGTAAATGCTTTAATGGACAAGAAACGGGTTTTTCCTATATTAACATTCAAAGCAACCAACAACAGATATTTTGCCTCATTCTTATAACAATATCACTAGTTTTATCATTTATGCTTTTAAAAACATTCCTAGATGAAAAAAACATTTTTTCCAGACCGATAAGTGATTTCACTTAAATTTGCAAATGCTGCAGAGTGTTCAGGAACAAGTGCTGTCTCACTGCACATTTCCAGACCCCAAATAATTAAACTGGAATTTCTTGCTGTGATTTGCAGGGGAATTTTGAAACTCATGTACCTGGCTTGTGTTTCTTCCTTGAGTTTGATCTGGCCAATTCAATATGCACAACTGATTCGGTTTGTGGATCGAATCTAACTCCATTAGATAATAATAAAAGAAACACAGTGACAAGCCTAACCAATTTCCAAAACCTTCAAATATTCTGTCAGTAGAAAGATATTTCCTTTCAGCTCAAAACTTCTACAGGATCAACCATGGAGGCGAACTGACAAGAAATATAATTAGAACCAAAATCCCATTCTTATTTTGAGTTTTTCCCACTTCAACAAGAACTACTAAAACAAACAATAAATTTTCACATTGAACTTATGCAGCGGCCGATGGATTATTGAAGATTGCGGCAAATGCAACAACCTGCAACAGCGGCAAGGCATTCTTCACTTCAGCTTTTACATGAAATGAAAGGTTTATCTCTTCATATTGCGCCAATTTTCAGTTTTCCCGGAAAACAACAGAAAGTGAAAATTTTCTCCCAAAAGGGAACGAAGCTAACTGGTTTTTAATGAATAGTTCAGTTTCTCGGAAAAACAAACATAAACTGAAAATTTACTTGGGACAAAAATAAAAATAAAAGAAAAATTGAGATACACAGTTTCTAATAAAATTGCAGACTTCTTAAACGAAAGCTTCACGTATTTCTCGCGAAACAAGCAGAAAGGTGAAATTTTTCTGGCAAAAAATAAAGCAGGAAAAAAGGGATAATATATGCTCTAGTTCAAAACATAACAACATTGACTCTATAAACAAATTATAGTGAAACCCAAGTAAGAATAAAAATTAATTCCAGTTGATAGTAATGTCTAACACAATTTCCAAATAACATCAACAAAAGTGATAATTATTAAACTTACACATTTTTTTACTTCTCTCTAAAATTAATTTTGGTTATACAAAACCCAAACAAATAATGCTAGATTCACAACCCAATCTCACAGCCTCCGATGTGACAGCTTAATCATTGGTCAACTCATAAAATGGGTCATGCATGTTTGTATAGGTCCCTTACACTTATTTGTGAGCTAACCAATGACGAACTGTCACGTCGAAGGTTGTAGACCTAACATTATTAAACCCAAAAACAACAAAGGGACAAAGAATATATACTAATCTTCACTGGATTGCACACTTCCTGTAACTGCATGCAAGGTAGTATGAAATTATTATTCTCAGTACACTTTCATAACAAGGTTTGAAGAATATAACATTATCCCCCCAACTTTAGTTTCAAATTGTTTTCTTTTGGGGCCACTTCTCAATTACCCTTGAAGCTCACATAAAACTGTATATTATCCTTTTATGGTGTGCACAACTTTAGTCCGTCTTCTTGGGTTATGATATGATCTTCTTCGTTAAAGTGGATGAGGGAAGGTACTCTTTAGTGTCTTTAACACTAATCTAAAAGTATGGTAAAAAACCAAATGCAATCCAGCAACCCAGAAGACATTGTCTTTAATTTCGGAATATAGCATGGCTGAATCGATTTATTCTGGCCTCATCGAAAAAAGTTAGGGAGATCTGTTTATCAAGAAATATCATCTGTATGGCGTGTGAAAGATGAGCTGAAAAAACTCCAGGAGACATTGTCCTCTGTGAAAGCTGTGCTTTTGGATGCTGAGGAGACTTTGAATGGTAAGAGATACTTACTGGTTATGGATGATGTTCGCCATGAAGATCATAGATCATGGATTGAATTGAAAAATATTTTGTCAGAAAGTGCTAATGGGAGTTTAGTGTTAGTAACCACACGTAGCGATCGTGTTGCCTCAATTATGGGCACAATGAGAGATGTTAATGGGCACAAATTAGAAGGTCTCTCCAATGAAAGCTGCTTGTCTTTGTTATTGAAATGTGCATTTAAGGAAGGGCAAGAGAAACAACATCCTAACCTGATTAAAATTGGAGAAGAAATTGTGAGAAAATTGTGGGGGAATTCCTTTAGCAGTGACAACATTAGGAAGCCTACTATATTCCATAATTGATGAACATGATTGGACATATGTGAGGGATAATGAGATTTGGAATTTAGATCAACAGAAAGATGACATTTTACCTGCTTTAAGATTCTGCAATTCAAAGCATGCCAGTTTCTTATATTAATTTGGAGTGTAATGGTGGCAATTATTTGGGCTGTTATGAATGGATTGTCAAGTATAAAAAGGGGTGTTTATTCTCTTTTGATGAGCAATCTTTACACTCAATAGAATTCCCTTTTGCTTCTGCATCTTTATTCTATCAGCTTTCCTTCACCACTTCTACGTTGCCTCATGCTGTTCTAAGCTTCTGTTAAAGAATGCACTTTAACTAGAAGTTCGTCATTGTATCCTGAAGGTCAGTCCGTTGTTGAACCTTTTTACAACACAAAGATTCTTCCAGTAGGGGCGGAATTCTGTTGTTACTGTTTTACTGCTGTCTCTCTACTATTTTTCCTACTGTTCTCCTACTATTTTCCTGTTGTTTCACTATTGTTCTTCTGCTGTTTCGTTGCTGTTCTTCCACTGTTTTGCTGCTAATTTGTATTAAATTTCAACATATATATATATATACATGGTTAGGCGATTTAGTTAAGTCTAAAGTGAGCCGCAAAAGCGGAGGTCGTCCGTCATTGACTCATTGGGTCCCTTTGTCATGGCACAGCCCCGCAAAACCTGTGGCGGCATAGTAAAGTTGGCCATTTATTTATTTACTTAAAATAATTGTAGCCACCGTCGCTCTCCCTTCGTATTTCAACCCTTCACACATTTTCTTTTTCTGAAAAATTTAAGAGTAAAGTTCTAAAAAGAAAAAAAAATATGAATATTCACTATTATATTTGTATTATTTTATAACTTAATTTGATGTGAAGAGAAATTTATTAAATATTGTTATTAAAAAGTTAATTATGAATAACTTTTTAATAGGAAAATTAATAGTCATGAACCATTTTTAGGTGTAATACTCAAGACAGGGGCGAACCCAACCTCTAGCCTACCCTCATTAGAGAAATTGATATTGTATGATTGTGAAAACCTTAATCTTCATTTGAGCATGGGAATAAAAGGGGAAGACAACCATCAAGACCTCATTATCCCTAAGGCTCACCTTTGATATATATATACATGTTTTTTTTTTTTTTTTTTTTTGGATGACGGGAGGTTAATCTCCTAGCGGATTAGTAACCCAGGTAGATTAAACTCAAGACCTTTTGAATAATACATCCAAGAGTTCTAGTTGACCCCTAGACCACTAAGTGGTGGTTAGTGTTCCATCTCTCTCTCCCTCTTAGTAGGGGTCACTCTGATATGTTTACAACACACAAGGGTGCATCAGTAGTCTTGACACAGAGGGGTTTAATGATTTTACCTAACTGGTCCACACTGCATCAATTTTTCAGCACTTTGGATGTAATCAAGTGATGCGTGCTTCCCGCGCTCTAAAGAAGGCGGCTATCAGGCCGTCCATCTTTTCCCAAAGATCATGGGCGGCCCGTGGATCCCAATAAGTCGGTGGCCGTAGCACAACGCTGGGACCCATCTTTGCCCCACTCCACGTCACTCTTTCATTCCACCACCGCAGACTTTACCACCCCAACTGTAACTTACAGTTCCCATAAACACATGACACATCATCACCCTGACTTTGAAGTATAAAATCTTATGCGTGCTTCATTAATATATATTTTCCAATAATTCAGATAAAAATCTTTACAAATCCCTTTATATTAAGTTATTTATTACACTAATTATATTATTTAAATATTTTATGTATATATAATTCTAAATATTATAATAATATTTAATTAGTCATGAAGCATTTTTAAAAGAATGCTACGTGCAAAAGG